ACTTTGCTGGTGATAGCTGTTTTCAAAAATAAAAGAATGTTCCAAAAAATAGAATTATTTCACAGATAAATTCAGAAGCCAAACAGAGCCTTCCAGGAATTTTTTAAAATCTATTAAGATTGTTTATAGATTTTATTTCTACATTTTCACTTAAAACATTTACCTTCTATAAATAATACAAAAACAATATTTGAGGTTATTGGTTCTTTCCCTAGACTGAAGATGGCCAACTCATGGTTGAAGGAATGCTGGACATTTTCTGGGGAGTAAAACGGCCTATACAGCTGAAAATTCAAGATGAGAAGCAAATCCCTTCTTTTACTACAAAGAAGTCGCCAGATGTCTTTTCCCGAAAAGGGTAAGCTATCTCTCAGGCTTTCAATTCCTTTGAAGATGATCTTAATACGTAGTTTTTATATGTGCTCTTAAAGATGAGGGCTCTAACAAATTCTTTCTACACAATCTCATTTAATCTTCCAGCAACTTTGTGAGGTAGGTGTTCAGAGACCAGGACTCTGAGAGATAAGCAACTTGTGCAAGATACCCAGTTAACATGTGGCAGAAGTAGAACTGGATCTCAGGTCTATGGGCTGCAGAGCTTGTGCTTACAACCTCTCGGTTGTGTTGCTTCCTGAAAGACTTCAGTCTCTTCATTGAAAAGGTAAAAGTAAGATTTGATTAGCCCTGGCCTGGTGACCCCAAAGGGAATAAATTTTAAATTTCTTCTTTCCTTGGAAAAAAGGGCTCACCTTGCTTTCTAGAAAACCAAAACAATTTTTCGAATCAACTTCGAACTTCATGCGACCGACCCCCTGTGTCAGAGTAGAACAATACTCCATAGGGTTTCCAATAGCTGATTTTTCCCAAGTAGATCACCAGGTCTTTCTGCTGAGGTGCTTCTGGGTGAACTTGAACCTCCAACATTTTGGTTAGCAGCCGAGCATGTTAACCGTTTGCACCACCCTTCACATTCTAGAAGGGAGACTTAATTATGCTCCACCTGATTGTCGTGGTCCTGTTCAACAGGGCACTACAAAGTGCATTTGAAGTTAAATAAATGCACAAAACAATTCCTTATGTGGTTTTACACAATTGTACTTTGAATATACAAGTCAAGCTGATATTTTTATTACTCCTATAATTTTCAGGAAAATCAATAAATATGTCTAGTAGAAATCATTCCTATACAGTTTTCTTCTTCCTTTCTTCTTTCCTTCCTTCCTTGTTGCCTTCCTTCCTCTCTTCGTTTTTAATCCTTGACTTTCCAACTCATCTGCCTTTTGTGTACACACAGAAGTACCAACTTTTTCCTCATACCATCCATTCTCCTATTCCTGACTGGGTGGTTAGAATGGCAGAGGTGAGAATGGAGACAGAACTGCAGGACAATTTTCCAGTTTAATCTCTGGCCACAACCAAGGAAACCAGCTATCACCTTGAGATAAGTCCTGCTTTTCCTTTGGAGAAAACACCATGATTTGTACTTGGCCAAATCATAATGTTTTTCAAATATTATGCTCCCGTAATACCAAAAATTTTCTAATTCCTGACACATGTCATGCAGTTCCTTACCCTTATGACTCCTCTCTGCCTGGAAGTCTACCCTCTTCTCCCAGGTAACATCTCCAGAAAGACTTTTCTGACCCCCTCAGTTTGTACTAGGTGCATGAAAACTTCTGTATATCACTTTCAGAGCGTGCAGTTAACTGTATAGTTATGCGCCTGTTTTCCTCACTAGACTGTGAGCTCCTCGATGGTAGCAGGCATGCGTTATTCATCTTTGTGTCTGGTGTACCTGGCACAATGAGGGGGCTCAGAATTAACACTGAGTGGAACCCTCAGAAGTCTGTGGCTAAATTACCTCTTCTTTGTTGTGAGAACTCTGTCTCTCTATCTACCACTTCTGACTAGCCCCTACCCAAGTTAAGGGTTGCCAGCGTGTGTACAGTCAAGTGCTTATGGAATAGTTCTAGATTATTAAGAAATAGTAATAATTATTATTATCAAGTTCTGGATTATTAAGGGGGCTGATGATTCTAAATGACTAGGGGGCATCATTTAAAAGGAAGAAAACTACCGGGCCCTGCTTTTAGAGCACTCTATAGGATATGACCTCACAAAATTAGCCATCATTCTTAACATTACCTAAGAACTCATTGCGAAGTTCTCTGAGCAGCAAGTTCCCTCTGATGCATTGTAATTATTTAATTTATCAAAACTTGAGAAGTAAAGAAAGACGCCAAGGAGGTGAAGTAGGGTACTGTTATTAGCACGTTAAGCCATCGTTATTTTGAACAGCTATCCCAAGTTACTTTTTAATATCTCAAATTTGAAAGACTTGTCCCTAGAAATTCTGATGTTATGGAGGAGTTTCAAGAGTCCAGGTGGATAAGATAATATAGATGCCTCTCTATATACATCATATTGTAAAATAATATCCTCATAAAGAACCTTCTGTAGAACCCGTTGCGAGTCCCTGGTTGATGCAAACAGTTAATGTGCTTAACTGCCAACCAAAAGGTTGGGGGCTCAAGTCCACCCAGAGGCATCTTAGAAGACTTGTCTGGTGATTTACTTCTGAAAAATCAGCCACTGAAAACCCTATAGAGCACAGTTTTACTCTGACACACATGGGGTCTCCGTGAGTCAGAGTTGACTCGATGACAACTGGTTTGGTTTGGTTTGGATAGAGCCCACTCGGCATTTTTCAGCATTTACCAGACCATGGCTGTGCAGCAAATGGGAATTAGATCCTTTTGTTTTTTAAGTTGAGAAAGAACAACCAAGAAAATGTCATCAGTTTGCCCTTTACTACAATAACAAGACTTACTGGGAGAACATTTGAGTGCACACTTGCAGTGTATCATATATTTCTGGAGGGTAAGAATTGGTAGAAAAAAACTCCCCTCCTCATATACACACAAACTCGCACACATATACACAAGAGTAAGATTAGGATCAGTTCTGCATAATTAGCCAAGTATACCAAATGCAGTCAGCCGTCCATTAGTGTACTAATGGCCGGAAGGTGCAACATAATTTGGAATGGCTTTTCTCTGGGCTCTGATTCTCTAATGGGGTGCACAGCCACCTAAGGAACTATTCTTTGTTTTAATCCAATCCTAGGTACCCTCACGCTGGTTGCCACCATTAAGATGACATTTATTTAAATTCTGAGCTCCAAATTCAATTGTGTAGAGAAATTGACTATTCCCTCACTCTATAAGACTTGTCCCATACTGGGTGTCTGTGGGCAGAACTTCTCACAGGATCACAGATTTTATATCTCCAGCGGGTAGATGTAGAATAAAAGTAGTGGAAGTGGTGTATTCAGCTCAGGAAAGGCTGTTACTTCGCTGTTTTGAGAGAAGCATCAATCTTGTCTTGCTAGCTTCTTTTAATTATGTTTGAAATGAGTCACACTCAGGATGTGTCAGCTTAATGGGAGTGATAGAAGCTTAAAAATAAATCAGTTTGTTTAAGCTGTGACCACCTGTGATGCTTTATGGAAATTACTTTGATCTCTTACATCTGGTCCAACTATTTTCTTTTGGAAATTTTTCATTAAAAAAAAAAAAGGCGTCATTGAGATTGTGTTTGCTTGTACCATTTTTCATTTCTGTTTTAATGTCTTTTCAAAGTCAGCTTTGACACACTTTGGACAAGTCATGGCATAATGACATAAAGAGCAGAAATTGGACAGGTGTACATTTAAATAACATCAGTAGTGTGCGCGTGTCATTTTTGTTTTGTTTTTTTCCTTTCTTTCTTTCCTACAATACAGGCAGGCAAATGACTACATTCTCTTTGTCTACCAAATTTCTACCTACTTTATATTTTTCAACTCATTTAAAAACTTCCCCACCGTTTAAATTTGCAAATGATATAAATCCAGAAGTTTGGTCAAAGCAATGCAAATAGCCCTGTTTGGGCAAATTAAACTATTTAATATCACATAAAGTTCTAACCAGTTTTCTTTTGAAAACTCTGACTAACAGGCCTCAAGTCTAGTCATATGCACAATTGTATGGGGTAACACTTTGAATTATACAAAACCAGGCCTGGAAACTGGTGTTTTCTGCTGTAGACAGCAAGGAGGGAAGGGGACCCAACACTGCATATATCAAGCCATGTTGGTCCTGTATTTGTGGGGAGAACAGGTGTGAAGTCTGCCAGGGTCATCAAGAATTTGTGTAGTACATCACTGGTGTGGCATTCTTGGGGACTCTCATCTTCTACCATATAAAATACAATCAGGTTGCTTTGCCTTTTCACTTTCTGCTTTTCACTGGTATTCTGTCTCTTCCATCGCCAACCCTCCTCTGATAATCTTATCTGCCCCCTTTTGTTTATTAATCTTCTAAAGACTGGAGAAAATGAAGAATTGTATCTACTATAAGAGTAACTAGATTCTGAGTCAGAACCTGAAGAGTTGTCCTTTGAGTTAAATTCACTACCTATATAGTTCACGGGTTTTATGACATTTGTTTTGACTGGTTATGCTGGAATGGTAGAGATTGCTAGAAAATCAGTTAGCAAATATAATAGGATTTCCTTATCTACCTCATAAGGTTATTGTGTGGCTCAAATGATATACAAATGATAAAACAAAGACTTCAAAAGAAGTCATAGGTCAAAGGAAAAAAGGATCATGTTTATTCATATCCACCACTATTAGTATTAACAAGCATTTTGTGGTCTTAAGGACAACAGATAGTGTGGAAAAGATCCTTGGTAGGATAATAAAGATAGATTCCATAAATTATAATGTCTACCTAAAAGGATCCAGGAATGCCTTGGCTTTCTAACAGTTCCTGACTCATCATGAAACAGATCCAGATGATGGTAATTATGATGATGATGATGGCGATGAAGATGAGGATGAGCATGATAATTTTAAACATATATTGAGTGATTGCTATGTTCCGGGCACTGTTTTAAGGATTTTACACAAATTAACTCATTTCATCCTCACAACAACTCTATCCTACCCTGTACAATTTTCATCCCCATTTTACAGATGAGGACACAGAGGCATAGAGAAGAAAAGTAGCTTTTGTATGGCAAATAAATAAAATGTTTGCTCTGCTGTAAAAAATAAGTGGTTGCCCAGTTTTATTTTTCTGGGCACTAGAATGCATTGCCAATTGTTAGTGTCCTATATGGAATCATAATTTGCCAGCAAAGAAGTTGCTCATACATTTGTCTCCTCTGTAAATTGCATTATTCATAGCAATCAAGGGCCTTAAAGATAGGCACAGCATCTTACTATTTTAGATCTACTTTGCCTAAACAATGCTTCAAATAGAATAGATACTCAATACACATTTGAAATCTATAACTTTGTACCTAAATTCTCTAAAAATACTGTGAGATACCTTTACAAAAATGAATTACGTTGGTTTCTACTAATTCCATTTGCACATAAGTTTTACAGAATCTATATAACCTTGTGTTTCAGTGTGTAACTGAATTATTTCTGTAAGATGTCAAGATATACTCAATAGAAGCATAGGAAGCATTTAAAACACATGCTGACCACTCTGATATAAATACAATTTTAATAATATCACAAAATTGTTATTAGCTTTGTATAATATGTCCAACTACAGAGACCCAAAAGTACTATATTAATATTGTAAATCTGAAAACTGTCATAGACCTCACTACAAATGGAATTGATGTCACTTACATGATTTTTCACTTTTCAGGGGAATGACACGCTGGGGGGAATTTGATGATCTTTATCATATTAGTGAGCTGGACAGGACCCAGATTCCTGTGACCGTAGCAAAGAACTCTGAGGAAGGTCAGTATCAGCGTCTTATTAGTAGGGCAGGGTTTTTTGTTTTTTTCTTTAACCAATATAAAACAATACTTTAAATGGTCTTCCGAAATTTAACATTTTGCACACCATTCTTCAATAAACTCTTGTTTTATATATATGTGTGTGTATATATATATATTTAAAGTCTCTTAGGAGCATACTAATTTAAGTCACTGCAGTGCTCCTATGATGTTTAAGAACTTTGCTTTGCTGTATAAAAATATGATCACTTTTAAAAATTATAGCATGTCACTTATACTTATTA